GGGAAACGAAAGAGAGCTCCAAAACAAAGCCTGCAGCGCCCTCTGAAGCAATGCACGGTCTTCCGCGACTCTTTTTTGGCTGGATGAATTATCTTGTTAGGTACGATCTTTGGTGAAACTCAAAATCTTTAACGTCAAGTTTCTCAAAACTAGGATAACTTTGCAATTTTGAGGTAGCAATATGTGTCCGCTACGCCCTTAACGACTTAACAGTCTTATTTTAAGCAAGTGAGATTTCGTGAGAGAGTACTCGGTCTTCGAGATCGACATCGGATGAGATGGAGCCAAAATAGAACTGAATGTTATAAATGTGACTGGCCATTACGCCCGGGAAACAACAGATGGTATAAACAAGGAAGAAGTCTTACACACACGCACGCACACACCTTATCGGCAAAACGCGCACTTGTCTCATTTCGAGGGCAAACTGTCGAAACCTTGCGTCTTAGGCCAACAGAGGTTGTGTTGTCATGTGCTTCAGCAGAAAGGCTGAGGTCTCTCATGAAACATGTTTTCCCCCCATGTTTTATCCGAATTCTTGTCGTTTATGTGCACGACAAACGGCTTTATCTTTGCACTGCAGACGTGGGGTTTCAAACTGGGTTGAATTAGAACAATCTGGCTTTTTTTTCAAAGTAGGCGCTTTTACGCCCCTATCGACAATTTAGATAATTTTGGAGGCAGGCTTCAACCCAGGCTGAGACATACAATGTCCTAGCAGAAGGAAAAAAGATACGCGATAAAGAATCTCCCCATGTGGGAAGCGAATTCGGGGTTTCTGCGTGCGACAGCGAAACGCCTGACCACTACACCACAGACGCTTGTAATCTGGCCTTTCGCACAACACTTCAGTATGAATTCCATCAATCGGACAATGGGTACATGCCCTTCACAGAAATTCCAGTGCACGTCAAATGGCGCCAACTATCCAGCACTCCTTATAGATGCTTATACAATCAGCTTTCGAAATTGTTCCTGACATCAGGAAGAGCGATTATTATAGTTTATGAAATTACTGTGGGGAAGCAGTGGCTACTAGCTACGAGTGTCCGTGAGTATATGAAATAACGAGGCACTGGTTCGACGAGAAGGCGACGCATTTATAACTGCCGAATGAAGTCGAGTATTTACTGTGTTGCGCTTCGCCTTCTCACTTCATTTTCCTTTCTCTTTCCAGTAACCCCTCTGCTGAGTATCATACGTTGTGTCTAATACAGTGTATAATCCCACCGTCAATCCGCCTCAAGTATTATAACAAGTACATTCACCTGAAAGCATGATAAAATTGAAATTTGTATGTTCAAATTTAGCGAATACACATCGAACGTACACAGAGATTGTCTAATGACATGAGTAAAGTTTCGATTGATTTATCAAATTCTTAAACACACACACACACACACACACACACACACACACACACACACACACACACAAACACACATTCTCCCATCTATAATGGTATTATGCTATGTGCAATATAAAGTGACTGCATTTAATATAGCGCATATGTCCACGCTCTGCACCAAGCTCTATGCGTTTTTCAACTCTATTATTACCACAGCAGATCCATGAACATTCACAAACATTCTAGCTTTCCCAGTAAACATACAGTGCATTCTGCGGACTGCACACATTCAAACACTAACAAACTGACAAAATCTTACGCTGTCTAGGGCCGGGTACCCATTCCTACAAGGGAGAAGAGGGGGAAATTGGTGTAAACTTCCTTTCCCAAGCACACAACGAAGATCCCCTGAACGATATTCGAACCGACAAACTAACGGTTCCAAGCCCAAAAGCCTGACCATCCACTAAGCCACCGATGCCTCCCCACCCCCTGCCTTTCTCGTTCTCTCTTTCTCTCTCTCTCTCTCTCTCTCTCTCTCTCTCTCACACACACACACACACACACACACACACACACACACACACACAGAGCAGTGCCTTCCTGTACTGTTTTCTACCCCCGCGCAAGGAAAATAAAACAACTATTAATCGATAAATCGATACCGGTATCCTACGCTGGGCTGAGCCTTACTGGTTCCCTGAGCGTGTGTCAGGAAAAACATAATGGCATGTCAATGTGTGCTTACACATGTAGGTCATGTTGGCCGACACATTATGCTGAGCGTGCTCTCTCTGTATCTAGATTCTGTTTACCGTTGTTACACACTTACTGGAGAGGTATCAGCCGCGGCAGGTAGGCAGGGTGCAATGACCCCGGCCAAAATCACAACCCAGATGTCGATGTGTTTCCTCGCAATATTCAACGTTGGCTTCAGGATACTTTCGCTCGTTGTCTTCAAGGAGTTTTAGCTCACACAGGAGCGCAGAAACGTGGCAACAAAGCTAGGAAAAACTGTCCGAGAAACACCCGTGAGTTCAAATTGCCATGCTTAAGTTTAAGCAGCTGAAGTCTTGTTAGTAGAAACCATTCTCTATTTAAAAAGGAAGAAACTAAAACATAATTTGTGTGTCTGCTTGTTTTCGAATGATGAAGGAGCTTGGAAATGTAAAGTGAAGACTAGTGACGATCTGTAGTTATAATATACAACTGTGAGACTGACAAGATTCTGACTCTGGAAAACGGAGACCAGAGTTCTTACTGGGATTTTTTGTTGTTGTTGTCGTTGTTTTTTGTTTGGTATAGATGCTTGACGTTGGGGTCGTGGCAAATGGGAATACATGCACATTTACTTCATACGAACTTCTCAGTAAGATTGTATTTCAGTTGACATTGAACAGACAGTGTTTATGCTCACAGAGATATGTCGACTATTGTCTACAGCTGTTGCATATTTTGTTCAATAACGATTCTGCTTCAAACTGCACTGCTCCATATCTGAAACCTCTCCTGTTCCTCCCCCCTCTCTCTCTCTCTCTCTCT